CGGCCGCCCCTGACGCCTGGGCTCCCGGGGCCCTTCTCCTGCGGCCCGGGCGCCGGCTTCTCCTCTCCCGGTGCCACCGCGGGCGCCGCTTCCGGCTCGGTCCCCCCGGGGGGCGGCCGCCCCGCACTCCCCTCTCCTCGGCCTCAGTCTCCAGTGACTGCCCCCACGGTCTCGCGGGCTGGGTGTTTCGGGGCCATTCCGGTGGGGGGGTCAAGTATTTATTTTTGGCAGCAACAGGTTTTGCGGCCGGGGGGCCCTCAGCGCTCCTGCAGGGAGATATAGGGGACCCACTGGTTGTTGCCCCGGCTCTCTTGGCAGTAGCTGGCTACTTCCACCAAGCCGTGGCTCTTCCAGGCGTCCGTGTGAGGGTTCTGGGGAGGGAAAAGGAGGGTTCAGTGGGAGCCGCAGGGGTAGGCGGGGACCTTCCCGCCCTGCCCGCTGCGGGGGGACGGGGGAGCCGGGACACGCCGCGCGTGGCGGCTCACCGTGACCAGCAGGCAGTGCAGGTCCCGCGCCTCGGCGGCGCCCTGCGCGTCGGCCGGCTCTCCCAGCAGCTCCGCCAGCCGCTGCATGCCCGACACCCGCACGATGTCGATGTCGTTGTCGCAGCAGAAGGACTGGATGAGCGTGAAGTGGATCTGCAGGGCGATGTCCCCCTCCTCCTCCTCATCGACGGCCAGGAGGCAGAGCACGACGCTGTCCGGGTCCCTGCGGGGGCGGGGGGAGGCGGGTGAGGCCGGGGCGCCGGGGCTCGCACCGGCGGGGGGACGTCACAGGGGGTCGCAAAAGGTCAGCCGCCAGGGTGCTGCAGGCCCCGTCCCCCCAAGAGCCCAGAAGCGCGGGTGCACAGCGGGGAGCAGCCGGGGGCGTCCCGGCCCCGCGCAAGAGCCTGCAAAGCGGAGGGCGTCGCGGCGCCGCAGCCGGGCGGCTCTGACTCACACATTCATCAGCTTGGCCGACTCGTACACCCCCACGGTGAGGCGGTCCTGGCGCTGCGCGGCCACCAGCAGCTCCTCCACCGCGGCGGTCACCGTCTGCATCCTGCGGCCACAGGGCAGCGGGGTCAGCGCCGGGAGAGCCCGGGGCAGCCGCCGCCCGGCCCGGCCCGGCCGCCGGGGACCCGGGTACTTACTTCTGCGCCGCATTGTCGCACGTCACGAGCTCCTCCAGGGTCATGGTGCAGTTATAATCCACAGTGATGCGCCCCTCGGCAGTCCCCGGAGAGAAACAGCAAAATGCGAGCCAACAGCTCAAACCTTCCTACGGAGCTTCAGGAGGCAAGCGAGAGCTTCCCCAAAAAAGAAACGAGAAAAAGAAGAAAAAGCCGAAGATAGTACAAAGTCCTTGGCGAAAATAATCCAAGCAGCCGTGAAAGAAAACATCCGAGTCCTCAGCTTCAGCGATCTGAGGGCGAAGCGGCCGGCGCCGTCTTTTATAGACTTTTGGTAGAGGGGCGTGTCCCGGAAGGTACCGCCCATCTCTCCTATTGGTGGAAACACAAAAGCGAGAGTAGCAAGCGCTACGATTGGTCGGAGGCGGGGAGGGGGGGGAGCGCCGGGCAAGGTCGCCCCACGTGGGGGCGAGAACTGAAGGGGGGGCCGAGAGTGCCAGAAAAGAAAAAAACAGAAGTTTTTCTCTTGATTTCCCGGCAGCCGCGCCGCGGTTCAGGGCGCGCGCGGGATTTCCAGCGCGTGAGGCGGCCTGGACTGGGTTGGGGGGTTGGAATCCCCTCCTTGTCCCCGGAGAGTCCCAAGCCCTAGCCTTTCCCAGGCTCTACTCAGAGGGCTGCATGGGGAAGGGGCTCGGGTTGCAGCGTGGTTTCTCCCAAGCAGAAACAAGCGGTTCTTTCCGGGCTCTGGAGACCCCAGACCTTGGGTGACTTAATTTCCTAAGGAATGCACCGCTGGCCTCATTGGAGGGTGCATACAGTAAGTGCTCAGTAAGGCTGGTGGTCGCAAGGGGACTCTCCAAGTTTCCCAAAAGTGAGGGCTGCAAGGGCCACCTTCTGGTCCCCACCTGTGCTTTGAGAATGAGCACCGGCCTCCTAGGGCTGGAAGAGGCACTTAATAAAACAAAGGCACACACTCCGTGCTCAGTGTGTGCACAACGCGGTCGCAGTAGGATGCCGCTGAGGTCCCCAAAAGTAGAGGCTGCAGAGTCCTAGGCACCCGCGGGAAGATACCAGGCGCCAACTCTGCGCACCGGGAGTTTCAGGGCGCGGTGCGCGTGGGAGGGAGCGCAGGTGCGGCTGCCTCAAGGCGCTGCACAGGACCGCCCCGCCCCCTGCCGGCAGCCTCTGACCATGGGAGAAACCTAGGCTGGGAGAAAGCGAGCCAGAGACTTTCCGGCTTGCGCGCTGCACGCTGCCACCTCGGCCACAGTCGCACCGCTCCCTCTCGTGAGGGCGCCGACATGCACTGAATGCATGCTGTGTACCAGGAGCCCCCTCCCTGTAGCGTGGATTATTTATAAAATCCAGGACCTGGGAAAGCCCGGGCCGTGCAGACTGGCATTATGCAATAGGGAAAACTGAGGCCTGGAGAGGCCATCACCGCCCAGTTCGTGTCGCATTCACGCGTGGGCTGGCCCGGGAGCACGCTTCACGAGCGAGGCAGGCAGGCCCGCGTGGGTCTGTCTCCCACGGTCCATCGGGGGCTCCCGGATGACTCACATCTGCGTCCCGTCCCCCGCCAGCCTTGGGTCTGGCTTCAGCCCGCAGGCTCCGTTCCCCCGGCTCCCGGCCCGCGAGTCCGGCTGACGCATGGCGCCACCTCCGCGCCACCCACCGCAGGGGCGCGAAATGTCCCGGGCGTGTGAGGTGCTGCGGCGCCACCTGCTGGCCGTACGAGGTCACTGCGCTCGCAGCACCGGAAGGACCGGACTTGGGGAGAGAGAACGGTTAGTAATGTTTTACGTGGAGCGTATTTTACATATGGAACATATATTTTACAAGTCCAGTATTTTGGGGGTGGAACGCAGGGCCCCCATGCTGGGCAAGCGTTCTAGAACTGGGCCACATCCCCAGCCCCTAGGCCCTCCACACGGAGCTACATCTTTAACCTGTTTTTTTATTTTTTATTATGAGATAGGATCTTGCTAAATTGCCCAGGCAGGGCTTGAATTTGAGATCCTCTTGCCTCAGCCTCTTAAGTAGGTGGAATTAAAGGTGTGTACCCGGCTAGGGCACCTTTAGTGTAGTAGTAATAGTAGCGTTAGTATGGCAATATACACATATGAACATGACTTCAACCGGTCCTAACTATACAAAGAAGCTACAGATATACACACAACGCTATGTAACCGCCACAGCTGGAGCCACTACGTTCGTATCCTCCTTAACATCAACTCTGCTCAGTGAATAACGAGGCTCCTTCACCCTGGTCACCTCTCACCCCCATTCTGCCTCTGTGAAGGTGCCGATTCCGGAGGCCTGCTTATTTCACTCTGCACACTCCTCGAGGCTCATCCTCAGTGCTTGCATCAGAATTCCCTCCCTCTTTAGGGCTGAGTAATAGTCCACTGAATAGACGGACACAATGTGCTCATCTACTCACTCCTCTGCAGGCAGTGGGCTTACTTTGGGTTACTGTGGGTGCTGATTTTCTCTTTTTGTTTTTGCTTTTCCTTTCAGTACTGAGAATGGAACCCAGGGCACTGAGTTACAGCCCCAGTCCTTTTTTATTTTTTACTTTGAGACAAGTTTTACTAAATGCCTAAGTTGTCCAGGCAGGGCTCCAACTCTCAGCCCTCCTGCCTCAGCTTCTCATGGTGCTGGGATGACAGGCCTGTGACACCATGCTGGACTCTTGAATTTTGACTTTCAAAACTTTTGTATCACAAGCCTTGAGATGTAGCCCAAGGTACTGGATTCCATCCCCAGCACCACAAAAACAAATAAATGAGTAAATAATAAAGTTACATTATGGCTGGGCACAGTGCTGGGAGGCTGAGACAGGAGGATCACTATGAATTTGAGGCCAGCCTGGGCTACATAGTGAGATCTTGTCTCGAAACACAAAATAAAAAAGGCTGGGGTGCGGCTCGGGGATGAGCACTTGCCCAGCACGTGCAAGACCTTGGGGTCCATCCCCAGCACCACAAGAGGAACAGACCAGGAAGAAAAGAAGAGAAAAGATTAGGGCTCTGTGTGTGGCACCATCCTACAGCTGGAGGCCATCACATAGTTTCCCTGCAGACCTGCCAGGGGTGGCTTGGTGCTGGTGCATGGGGAGGGTATAAGACCACTTCCGGTAGGCTAGTCTGGGTAGGGTTCTCTGAGGAGGTGACATCTGAGCCAACACCTGAATGATACGAAAAGGCCAGGCTTGAGAGACTTGGGGAAGGTGGTCCTTGTGGAGGACATGGCTGTGCAAAGGCCCCGGGGCAGCACAGAACCCAGTGCAGTGCAGGAGTAGCAAGGAGGCTACAGGAGCAGAGCGAGCTAGGGGCACAGAGGGAGGGGGAGGGGCAAGAGGGCAAGGAGCCGAGAGGATGCCCGTGGTTCCCTGGGTGTAGCCAGGATGGCCAGGAAGGCCCTGGCGAGTCTGAAACCGGGAAGGCTGTGCTCTGACATCATGTTTTGCACAGACTGAACAAGAGACGATTCCTGTCCCCAAGGAGAGGTTTCCGGGCGAGAGTGACTCATCCTGGGAACTTCAGACGACTGTGAGACAGGAGCGGCGGGGAGGATGTGGGAATGAGCGTCAGGTGGTCAGGGTGGCGGGAGTGAGAGCCAGGGATCCGGGAGGCTGAGGCCCCGGGAGGTGGAGAGGACTGTGACGGTGTGCAGCCGGGGCAGCGTGGGGCAGAGAGGGCGGGGAGGGTGGGGGTGGTGTCTCACTGTGACAGGAGCTGCCGGGGGTGCTCAAGACCTCCTGGTTCAGCAGGGCAAGGTGGTGCACGCCTGTCCTAGCACTCGAGGAGGCTGAGGCAGGAAGAGCTCAAGTTAGAGCTCAGCCCCGGCAACTCAGAGACTAGCAAGACCCTGTCTCAAAATAAAGATATAAAAGGGCTGGGGGTGGAGCTCAGTGCAAAGGCCCTGGGCTCAATCTCCTGTTCTGGAAAAAAAAAAAGCTTGAGTTCAAATTGTCTGTACTTGGAAAGATTTGTAAGCTGCCCCACCTCACCTCCCGGTGAGCTGTGCATGCCTGAGTCAGTGACCGGCTGTCTCTGAAATGCCCTCCTTTCCGTGGAAAGCGAGGACAAAGGGATAACTCAAAATGATAAGCTCCCTGGGCTCAGCACGTAGCAGTGCTGCACACATGCCATCGTCACCATGACAGCCACCTGAAGCCACTCCCAGCCCTCCCAACACAGCCCCCCTGCCACCTCTGCCCGCAGTCCCCAGCACCTCCCACACCCTAAGTCACCCGGTTCCTGGGTCCTCCTCTGCTCACCCATGGGAAACCCTCCTGGACGTTCCTGGACCACTGGCCTTAAATTCACAGTGATCATCCTGCCTCAGCCTCCCACAGCCCTGGGATAAGAGGCGTGCGTCACCACGCCTGGTCTTGTAATTCTTTAAAACTATTGCGGGGCAGGGGGCGGAACCTAGGGCCTCCCACATAGGAGACAGGTACTCACCATTGAGCCGCAACTCTGGTCCTGTTTATCTATTTCACTGACAAGACTGGGAGTTGAACCCAAGGCTTCTACACTGAGGTCCTTCCCTAGCCCTTTATTTTTTCTTGTTTTGAGACAGGATCTCCCTCAGTTGCCCAGGCTGGTCTCAAACCCATGATCCTCCTGCCTCAGCTTCCCAAATAACTGATATTACAGGCATGTGCCACTGCACCGTTTTTTTTAAACTATTTTTATTCTCCTTAGCCTTAGCACCATTGAACACATGCTGTATTTTACTTATTCATCCTAATTATTACCTATGCCCCTTGCCACCTGTACCAGGACTGTTTTCACCTGTTTTAGTCACTGCTGTATTTCTAGTACATAGTAGCCACTTTATAAATGTGTGTGTGATGACTGAATGACTGAATGACCTCAACAATACTTTCCAAGTCTGAGTATTACATTAAAGGATGCATTAAAGGATTTAAAAACTGTGTAAAAGGAAGGAAGTATGTGTGACACATGAGCTTAAAATCAACATATGAGCTGGGTATGGTGGTGCACACTTGCAATCCCAGCTCTCAGGAGGCTGAAGCAGGAAGGTGGATATGAGTTCAAGGTCATCCTGGGCTATCTAGTGAGACCCTGTCTCAAAAAACCAAAGAATAAATAAAATTAAAAAAAACAAAACAACAAATTAAAATGAACATGTGTCCAAGCTCAGATTTAACTCATTAACTGATGAGGAATCTGTAAGATGTTATACCTGGATTAAGGGTCCCAAAGAACCACATATTTTATAGGCCATCAGGATGCCCAAATGGGGCCAGGGATATAGCTCAGCAGCGCAAGAG